TTTTTTTTTTTATATACTCGGAATTGAACTCAGGTCCTTGTGCTTGTGAGGCAGGCAGCAGAACCACTGAGCTAAATCCCCGGCCCTGGACAAGATTTGAAGGGGACCCTGGGACTTATCTAGATGGAAATGTGTGTGTGTGTGTGTGTGTGTGTGTACACACACATATACATATCTAAGTATGTATGTATATATGTATGTTGTAGGGTAGGGTATATGCTCCAGTTCTTTCTCTACAGTTAGTAATAACAAAGACCAAACCTAGAAATGCCATCTGGTGAAAAAGCCTTCCTGAGAGTAAAATCAACAGAAAGAAAGCAATGTTAAGAGGAAGAGGGGCTGGGGATTTCCACTGCCTGTTTCACAAGCACAAGGACCCTGATCCCTGGTACCAAGAGAAAGTCTAAATCGTGAGACAACGCTGCTTGAGGTGAACCATGTCTGAAGCCAATCTTCCAGTTAACGAGCCAAATATAAAGTCTCTTTTTAGGATCTGAATTAGATTTCTATTCTTTGCAACAAAAAAATTATAATAATTCACTTCAAACAACCTGTATGAGGTTATTTCTTTTACTTTATTGATATGTATACTGAAGAGATACTATGATCTTATAGAAATTAAGTAGCATTAAAAGGACTTGGAGCCAGGTGTTTCTACCTCCAAAATCTATAACTTTGTATCACTATAGTACAATGTAGTAAAAAGGAAGATTCTATTTTCTCATTCTATCAAGCAGAGGTTATGAATACTAGCCATTATCTTTTATCATATTTTACAAAAAATATCCATGTTCACTTTGCCAGCACATAGTTAAAGATTTCAGGGGATTTAGCTCAGTGGCATGTGGCTGCCTGGCAAGCACAAGGTTCTGAGTTCAATTCACGGTACAAAAACAAAAAACAAAACTGATTTCAGTTTCTCTTAGCAAGCACTTATAGTCCATTTTCCTAAAAATTACAGTATGAACTTTAGCCTACTGAAGTTCCACAACTAATTTAAAAAACAAAATTTTGTTTTGTTTTGTTTTTGCTATTTGAGATAGGGTTTTACTATTGTAGCCCATGTTGGCCTTGAACTCAAAGCGATCCTTCTAGCTCAGCCTCCTAAATGCTGGGTACAGGCATGCACCACCACACCTGGCTAAATATCACATTTTCTAAACTCTTGTTTAATATATTGCTCCTTTCAGGCTATAATACTAATAAACATAATTAAAAATTTCATAATCATCACAAAATATAAGTACTTTGTTTAAAAAGTAGGCAAGAGTAAGACCCAAATCAAGGTTAAATCTCATCTATTATTAGATTCCTGTCCAGTACAAGTCTCTTCATATAGCCGGGAGTGGTGGTGCATGCCTACAATCCCAGCACTTGGGAGGCTGAGGCAAGAGGGTCTCCACAAGTTCCAGGCCAGCCTGGCCTACACAGTGTGTTCAAGGCCAGCCTGAACTACATAGCAAAACTCTGTCTTAAAAAACAAAACAAAACAAAATGGAACAGAACAGAACAATTAAGTCTCTTCACACAGATAAGGTAATAATGTAAGGAAGTGAAGTTTTGAAAGGTTAAGTTTCTATTTAAATTCACTTGGTTAGTTCAGGGGTTTGACAGTAGATTTCAAGACTTTTGTTAAATTAAGATAGTCTTTTTTTTCCCTTGAGCAAAGAAGGTAGTCTTGATAATAAATCTTACTATAAGAGATTTTACTGAAGCATCTGTATAGAGGAGCATCTGAATTCTGCATTTTACTTTGCCCTTCTAACAAGACAGGTTCATGATCCACTGCGGTAAACCTCTAAACATGGCAATTGGTGAACCTACCACTAACAATGAGACAAGAACCCAAAGAACAGAAAAATGTCATGGACAATTTTCTTGTTCCTTTTGTGCTCAGGTTACTATCCAGTGCCTGATTCTTTGTTTGGTACCAGAGATCGAACTTGGGACCTTGTGCTTGCAAGGCAGGCAGCGGAACTACTGAGCTAAATGCCTGACCCAGTGCCTGATTCTTGCTCAGGAGATTTTCTTTTTTTTTTTCTTTGAGACAGGGTCTTGCTTTGTAGTCCAGACTGGCCTTGTACTTACTATGTAGCCCAGGCAGGTCTCAAACTCACAGCAATCCTCCTGCCTCAGCTTCTCGAGTGCTGGGACTACAGGTGTGCACCACCACACCCAATAGGAGTTTCAGCTACAGTTAAAACTATAGTTAATTGTGTGTACTGGCTCCTGATCTCTCTAATGTCTCTGTGTACTAATTTTTCTTCTGATTTTCAGAGAACTAGAGCAGTGTCCCTACACGATTAGATTTTCCACCCTACTCCATCCCCAGTCTACCTACCTTTTCTCCCAGTCTGGTCAAGGAAACTACAGTGAATCCTATATCCAGAATTATATTTCTATACAAGGAGTAAAAATATACAAGAAAGCCTACTCACATGCTCAGCTTGGCTCAAAGAATTATATACTCTAACTCCTTGAGTAAATTACTTAACTACTCAGTTTCCTCATCTGAAAACAGAATAACAACACCTACCTCATAGGTCTATTATGGGTATTAATGAGATAATATAGAAAGAGGTTAGAAAAATACTATGATCACAGCAAACATTATATAATAATAACAATTACTATTATTTTCCAGTTATCATCTCAATGATAAATGATAACTTTTTTTTTTTTGAGACAGGG